CAACATGTCACACTATATATATATATATAACCTTATATACGTATGTTATATCTCTTAAGAGATCTGTCACCATACAAAATGTTAAGGCCCTACACTGACTGCTGGTAATGCTACCCATGTTTCCATGAAGCAGTGAACCAGCACTTGAGACTGACTGCTTTATTATCATAATAAAAATCATATACAATCACTGAGCAGCCAAAAGTGGGGAGATGAAGAAAACTGGTGACATACAAGGACTTCATATTATAAATTACTCTTTCAAATGTGAGTCACACATGTGGCTATACTGAGACTTTATGTTATTCTCCTCAGTCCCACTAAGTAAATAAGTTGTGAATACTTCCGTACGCCTTCTTGCTAACACTGATGACCTTTCTCTCAAGTCAGCTGATGCAGCTGACAGTATTAGCAAATAATTTACAAATCAATCCTTAGACCAAAGAACTACTCTAAAAGCATGTGTAACTTTCGCTTTCATGGTTTAGGTGTGTTGTATGTTGAAGTCATGCCATTTTGGTAAACACTGCAGTTGACTTCTTCAGGGTAACTGAAGCAGGAGACTGTGGGTTGACATAAAGGTCTCATGGTGGAAGTTAGGATGAGGGTGTGGTCTGTGATGATGCTAGATAGCCAAAACACTGAAACAGCTTCAACATATGACATGGCTAAAACCTGCAACCAAAGTTACAGATCATTGAAAACCTAAGAAAAAAGGTACTATAAAAAAAGCACTCAATAAATTAGTGGACTCTCACTTCAATTTTGCCTGTGTAGAAGAAGTCAATGATGTCTCTCAAAGCAGAGAACTCCATTTCATGCATTACAATTCGATCCTGTGTTGTTTCAATAAACCCAGAAGTGAACATTGCCCTGTAATCAACAAAGAAAGCTTTATTTAAAAAATGTGTGTCACATAAGTGTATTAACTTGAAAATAAAAGCAAATGTAAAACTACAAATTATGAACAAATGTAAAGTTATCTCTGTGCTTAATTAAGCACCACACCATGAAGACATATGGAGGAAAGGATATATAGTTCCACACCAATTCTTAACCTCAGCACTAGATGGAGGTGAGTGGTCAGCTTTATGCCCTGGCTTCTTTACTCTCTGGGAAGGAGCCCCTAGTACCCATTACATAGGCGGCTGGGTGGGCCTCAGAGCCAGTCTGGACATAGCACAGACCAGAGAAATCCCTGTCTCTATCATGAATCCAATCTCAGTTTCCCAGATATTCCAGCCCACAGCTCAAGACACTATACTGAGCTACATGCACTATATAAATTTGTAAGATTTCAAGAAATTAAATTATTAACTTCATCTCTGGCTAGAAAACTTCCCAGAGGTACTGAACTGTCCATGAAACTCAAATCATAACCTGAAAGAGTTCTATCTTCTGAGATAAAACAGTGTGCAATTCGGTAAAAGTCAACCAATGTTTCAGAGGAACATATCGCCTCCATCTTCAGGGTCAACAGACAGCTAAGAAAGAAACCAGCACCTACTAATATCAAATTTCTTGGATTAATTATCAAGAATACGTTGTCATTGAAAGGACGTGTCGACTGGCTTATGTTTAAATTAGGTTTGGCCTGTTATGCAATCAGGGCTGTTAAACCTTACATGTCACAGAAAACAATAAGAATAATTTATTTCTCACATTTTCATTTTGTTATGACTTATTGTATACTTTTCTGGGGAATGTCTCCCTATGGTATTCATATTTTTTGGCTAGAGAATAGGTTAATTAGAATTATTACTAATTCTAGAAGTAGAGGCTCTTGCAGGGAATTCTTTAAGAAACTGAAAATTTTGTCCCTCCAATCACAGTATTCCAAAAACGAACATATTATTTTGGAATCAAGATTTTTAATAATCTTCCTTCTAGCATACAGGACTTAGCTCATAACTCGAAACAATTTAGATTTTCTTTAAAAAGATCTGTACCAAGTGTTCATTGTGTAGGCTTATTAGACATCCAGGGAGCTTCTCAGAGCTTCCTGTTGGCGGACACTCTAGGCTGATTCGGTGATATCCTAAGTCAGTCACTGTTGCACAATCAAGTGTTACAGAAGCTTTGTATAATGCTCTGTTCTGTGTCTTTATGGCTCGTTTCAGATACAGTTTAGAACAAAGAGTTTCCATTTATGATTGTTATGTGAAAACAAACTCATACAAATCATGCAGGAGAAAATTTTGCCATAAATTTCCTGAAACAACATGTCCATCTGACATAACATTTCAAAATTAATCAAGAAAGTTCAAACCTATGGCATTTTAATTGACAGAAGGCCGTTAAAAAGAAATCTTGTTTAAACCGAGGAAAAACTTGACATCAGTCGATTAGAAAATTCTTCTCAAACATCTTTGCAGCAATCAGCACAACAAAGTGGTGTTTCTGTAGGCAATGCATGGACAGCAAATAAACTGTGGCATGTTCGTCCATATAAAATTACTGTTATTCCTGAAATTAAACCTATGGATTATAAAAAAAGAGTGAGTTTTTCTAACTGGTTTATCAACCATATGCGTGACAGACTTCTTGATCCTAAGCTGACATATTTCACAGATGAGGATAATTTTAATCTCTCGGGATATGTTAACTCAGAAAACAAGAGGCACTGGAGTAGTGAAAATCCTCATGTGCTAATTCAGCTTCCCCTTTTTCGACCAAAAGATAGGTGTATGGTGTGCAATTAGTGCAAACCATATCATTTGACAGATATTTTATGAAGGAACTCTTGATGATGAACAATACATTAATGAAATACTCAATCCATTTTTCGTTAATTTGGCACCTGCAGAAGGAAAATGTTGTTATTTTATGCAAGATGGTGTGACTCCACACATAACTAAGGAAACTATCCGAGCATTACATGGTGTGTTTGGAGAATTAAATGGGTATGACAAATATTAGCAACAAGTTTCTGGAAATCTGTTTTACTAGAATTCAGGCATGTCTCACAGCAGAGGGCAGACATTTTGAACATCTTCTATGATGGTGAGTACAATATTAATTACTATATTTGATTAATAATTAACAAAAGAAGTAAACAATGTGTGCTACTGGTTCCGAACGCCCACAGGCATTTTTCTTGGCAGGTGACACACTGCTTTCGCAGGAAGTTGCTGACTGTAAAATCAGTGTCCAATCAACCTGCACTCTGAACATGGTGTACTTTTAAATTCATTTTACTCATTAGAAGAATATTTTAACTTCAATATTAATTACCAAACTTGGTCTATAATACAATGGATGGCTAGTAGTATATTTTTACATCTGATTATTGTAGTCTTGTTTGATATTAGTATGTTGCATACTTTCACATAAATATTTGATTACTGTTTAATGATTTACTCATTGTGATTTGTCTTGGATAACATGTGTAATTGTGATGGATTAAGTATAATTAATTTTTATTCATGTAATTGATGTGACTTGCCTTGTTGTCATTCAAGATTTCTATACCCGCTGGTCTTCCAGCCATGTAAGGATACATGGCTGGAAGAATACAGAATACAGAAGACACAGAATTTTGATATTTATTGTATCCGATGTAAATTTGTTTATGTATGTCTGCTTTATGTTTTATAATTGTTTGCATGTATGTTTGTTTTGTTTTTGACATGTTTCAATTAATTATTGTAACTTAAATTTTGATCTTGTGACTCATTCTATATCCTATGGCTTGTATTATGCCTGTATCAGGATCAATTAGAAAGTGAAATAAATGGAATGGAATGGAATGTAAATGAATGAATGAATGAATGAATGTAGCAGGCACCTTCAACCCTGAAGATGGAGACGATATGTTCCTCTGAAACATCAGCTGACTATCACCAGACTACACAGTAATATATCCCAGAAGATAAAACTGTTTATAACCACTCCTGTGAGAACTTGAAATCCTAAATAACTTGAAAGTTCACCAAATATTTGAACTTTGCTAAGACATTTTTAAGCCCATAAGACTGTGCTAATATTTCATCTTCTCATCAACAAATGATAGCCTTACACTTTCATGTGGTCTCTCTTTGACCAATGAATGCATTTCATTCATGAGCGTACACTAAAGATGATAACAGTGTAACAGCAGAAACTTGCTGCCATTTATAGAAGTCTTCAAGAGGTTAACAAAATGAAACACATTCATAAAAAGTAACAGTGGTATAAAATAGCAGCTGAGCTTTACTACCATACTTACATTTAGAAAGCCCCAAATTAGTTACACAATCTTAAACTTTGTCATCTGATATACCAACAGCGTCACACTCAAACCCCTTACACTGCCATCATTCTACTTTGAATGAATTAAAATAAAATGTTCTACTTTCTAAAACCAGGCACTAATATAGTTAACACATTCACTGCTAAAACCAGTACATATCACATAACTGCTTTTACAGCTGTGACTGAGTGAGCTGAACAGTGAGGTTCTGTGCTGAGCTTCTAATGATTATCTGTATCTCCACTGGATAGTAACTAAGTCCTATTCCTTCTTCATGACCATGGTTGGAAATGTTACTGATTGCATTGATACTTGTGATCACAATTAAAAGAAACCATTTGTTAATGATATTGAGTTAGTGAATGTGTTAAAGAGATGTCAAATATTCAATATGGAAAGTCTGAGCATAAATGATCAAATTATTAGATCATAATGTATCTAGTTTCCTATGTATATATTCAAGGAGTCACAGCTTTTATAATCAGAGCTAAGTTCTGAAGTTCTGCTCTGCAAATGGATAGTGTAAGACTACCTGAAATATGGAGATACAGATGCTAACACAAGTTTGTGTGCTCTAATCTCATCTTCATTCACCACAATTGTTACATCACAGAAAGACTCAGTCTTCTGTAACTCAAAATGAGTTTGCAGTGTACATGTTGGATGCAGGCCATCATGGAACTTGTATGGTGCAGACATTCTTCCCCTGTAATTACATGCCAGCCAATGCTAAAATAAATTATTTCCACAGCTTTCTTAGACATCCTTCATATGGCAAGCAGTAAAAATGCGTCTCTATGGTATACTGTTTGGGAATGTCTCACAGTCTTGTTTCAAACACACTCTGTACACATTAACAAGACAGGTTAAATTGTAGTATATTGTAGAAGGACTCAGGAGATAATGAGTAGTATTCACCTCTTCATTGTAATGTTATGCTTTTCTTTTTTTCTTAAATAATGCAAAACATAAGCCTAGGTTTTTGGTTATGTTCTTAAAAATTAATTTTTAATGTTGGCAGCACAGGCATTAGGACTTGTTCCGCTAGTGCTTCCACCTGGAAATGCAATAAATGAGTATATCAAACACTGCCATCATGTGATTACTGTAATTAATCTTCATAATCAACGTGTTTCTCTGCTGTGTCATGCATGTGTGCAATCTAGCAGGTCTACTGTCAATTTTGAACAGTGCAAATACCATTATTCCCCAAATTAAAATCTGGCTGCCAGCACCATAGTATTGGGGGTTTAAATCCCCTAATTCCAGATGACAAAGGTTAAATTTTTGTGGCCACTGTCTAATGCATACAATCGGCTTTCACTTCAACTGTGTATATACTGACACCCTTCCGAAGTTTAGGCAAACACTGTGATGGCCAATTGTACAAAACAGAAGTCATACCGAACATCCACAAATGTGATCCAAGCATTATCAGAGATCACTCAAAGTATCAATTACTGAGAATTTTTCAGCAGGTCTTTTACCACTCTAGTGGTTGAAAAAAAACATCTTTCATCACCTCTTCTCATTGCCATACAGTCACAAAAGCATTTATAACTCCTAAAGTCATGAGATAGTATAATATGGTCATGAGTCATGCAGGTCCCAGAACCAAGAATAATTGTGCTGGCAAGGACCAGCAGGAATTCATCCCAACTGACCAAAGACACTAATCCTGAAGGTGGAAACTGTAATATTTGCAAAAATGGAGAGCCTTCAACATGCTGCACAGTACATTCCCAAAGTCATACATATAGGTATACAGTTCTTTCAGGTAAGCCTATTTACAAACAATTTTAAGGACAATATGTAATACAGATGTAACAAAGTCAAAAATATTTCTACCTAAGCTTAACAATACTTACTTCTTTATGACAGTAATTTGTTTTCTTTCTTTCTTTTTTTTTTTTTTTTTGAGCAAGAGAGTCAAACTTTTGTGCTGGCTTAAATACCTTTATATTATGAATTAAACTTTTAATGGCAGATGGAAAATTCTGAAGAACCACCTCCTCAGTGGTATTCATAATGAATATAATATTGTAACGTGTATCGTTACTGAAGACGCCGTTCGGATTGTTAATTGGTTTGTTTAACAACCTACAAGTATCGGCTACAATTAATTATAACAGTGTTACGGGTTTCCACACTTTACAAACCCTATACACTAATCTCTTCACTCTATCTTCAAGAATCTTCACGTATTAACATGTGAGCTATACAAGTCTCTCTGAATTACACACTCCAAATATAACTGTACTACAGCACACACAACGTCTTGAAAGCACACAATAAGTTTTCCACTCGCTGACTTCTTAGTTATCGCACACTGTCACATAAAATCTTGTAACCACGTGTTTGGGTCTTCTTAACGCGACTGCTGCTATGTTTCAACTCAACTTGTAGGCTGCTGGCTTGAGCACTAACTTCGGCGGCGGCTATTTTTTAACTCACTCACTGCTGACTTGAGAACTCACTTCGCCGACTGATGCCCTTAACTAACTTCAACTGCACTCGGCGATGGCCACATTTCAACTCCCACAGCGGCTGTGTGGTTCACTTATATAGTCACAGCGCCCACCTGTTACGCAATCGGTACCTCTGTTGGCTGTTACCCATGTCACAGCTGCGTTGCGTGTTATGTCACGGTGGAGAGGGGGGACGGAGCGCTGACTCATCCACCATGTCACTGCTGGGGGGGGGGTCCTCCGTTGCGCAACATGTCACAATATAAATATTAACAATATAATAATAAATATTATTCTAACTGGAAAATTGTTGGATGTGGTGTGCCTCAGGAATCGGTGTTGGGACCCTTACTCTTTAATATATACATAAACGATTTCCCCCTTGAAATAAGTAAAATTTATTATGTTATTATGTTTGCAGATGACACAAGTATCGTTGGCACAGCTAAAGACTACTATAATTTAAAAATAAAATTGGATGTTATTTTTAATCACATGTTTACATGGTTTAAATATAATCAATGTGTTAAATCTGGATAAAACAAAAATGATAAAATTCACCCCAACAACAGCTACGAGCTACCCTCTATATACATTGTTTTTTTAACAAAGCAGAAAGAAGTAGAGATGATAAAATTTCTTGGTTTGCAACTGGACAATCATCTGACTTGTAAGGGACATCTCGATTTTTGCTTCACACGTTGAGCACAGTTTGTTTTCTAAAGCGAAAATTATCCTATATATTAAATATAAATAGTCTTAAAGCTGTATATTATGCATATTATCATTCATTGGTGAAATATGGAATAATATACTTTGTTATACAAAAGAAAATAATAAGAATAATGATGGGAGTGGGCCCAACTCATAATTGTAGAGATCTATTTAAAATGCTTGACATACTACCAATCCCAAGTGTATATTCATTTCATTGATGATATTTGTTGTTAATAATTTGGATAAGTTTCAAACCAATAACTCTGTATGTGATTGGTACCAGAAGGAATAACCACCTTCATATACCTTCAACACATTTATCATCCTATCAGAGAGGGGTGTATTATTCAGGTATCAAGCTATTTAACACTCTGCCGTCAAATATCAGTTTTAAAAAATGATAAAAAGCAATTTTGGTGTGTGTTACAAAATTATTTGCAAAGTAACATATTTTACTCTATTGATGAATTTGTCAAGCATGCAAGGGGCTCAAAAGTTAATAAATGGTCTGTGTGAGTGAATTATATATTGTTGGGACTTGCTTGTTGTAAGTGTAGTAGTATGCATGATGTCTGTTTTTGTTATGAATTGTAATATTTTATAATTGTAACTGTTTTAATGATACAGCTTGCCAGTGTGTGTGGAATGGCAAGGCGTGAATTTGACTGCGATTTTTCCACACCCCATGTGTGTTTTCCTGACAACTTGAGCTATCTGTGAGAGGCCTGATTATATATTTTACTGGACAAAGGACGAATGATGTGTAGTCATCATGAATTTGTAACATGTGACATGTTTTATATCCAGCCCTACGGGGAGTTGATTGGATCCATGAAGTGAAAATAAATGTAAATGTAAGTGATACATTCTTTTCTGATACCTAGAGGCCCATGTAGTTAATATTTATCTTATGTTTGTTGTGTATATCATAATTTTTCTTAAATATCGTCTTGTTATCCATAACGAAAGGCTGTAATGAGGGCAGAAATTCACTAGCAAGAGGAATTATATTCATTTTCTTAAATAATTATCTACAACATATTCGTTGTCACGTCTTTCATCATAGTTTATTCTTACCTCCTCCTGTTCTTACAGTTCATACAGCTCGAATACGCCTATGTCGGCCTATATATTCCACTGCAAATCCAGATGTGTATCATGCGCACATCTAACACACGATTGTCAAAATAAAGAACTGTGGCTTGCTATGAAATAATTTCAAAGTTTCCGGAATTTGTATGTTTCGCCGCTCTTTTCAACCCTTGGAAACTCGATGCTATCGTCTGCCACCTCTACGTAGAACGACCGAACTATATAGTCAGAACCAATCACAATTCAACTATTGCAATAAATCGAATCGCATTTGTGTGACCCAATCCCAGTCGTTTGGAGCGGTTTGGAGGCATAGGTTGACAATATAGCTGACACAGAGGTGTTTTATATCATTTATGTGTATGTGGTAAAGTGGTTGTAAAGATGTCTTATACGGTAGGTCCTAGAGAGTAAGTTTCACTTTATATCAAAGACTAGAAGTGGTAGCAATGTTTTTAATAAACGTCAAATAAGTAAATACATACATTCTTTTGACTTGTTCTATATCCAAAGGTATTAACCTGCTTAGTGTTTATGGAATGCAAATCAATTCAATTCAAAATACTTACATAAGCGTTTCAGAGTATTCATAAGTGTGCACCTGGCACTGAATATAAAACTTGTCAAACGACAGTCACAAGACGATCACAGATAAAATCGCAGAGACATCAATTCGACCATAGTTAAAATCTAAACTGAATACCTCAATTAAATAGATAGTTTTACGCATACAGTTATACCAACAAGATAATTAGCAATTCATAATTATTCTTCCTACTTATATATACATATACATGCAATGAAGAACTATAGTTATCACATATTTAGGTATAAATTGCACAGTAATATAATTAAATATACCTAAGTATATTTCTGACTGTAAACCCTTACAATAAAGCAAAAATTCATCAACTGAATAAAACGAATTATTGATTAATATTTATTTTAGTTTTCCTAAGAAAGGTTTCCCGTTTCCCTAAACTGTTCAAATGCAATTATATTATTTGTATTTATGTGCTGCTTTTTCCAATTATACATCACTCTTTCAAGCAACTTAGAAAAGGTCAACAATGATATTCGTCTATAATTTGACATATCTGACTTCTCACCTTTTTTATATATAGGTCTCAATGACACATATTTCATTCCTTCAGGATAGATACCCTGTTTAAGGGATGCGTTAAATATGTGACTAAGTGGTTTGCTTATCTCGTCTACAATATTTTAATATTCTGCAAGAGACACCGTCATATCCTGTAGAATTTTTTGGTTTCAGTGACTTCATTATATTCTTTAATTCTGCCTCAGTTACAGGGATTAATATCATTTTTGGTATGTTATCATACTTGGAAGTATTGAGCAATTTCTTAGCTTCATTTGTATCAAAATTTGTAGTTACCAATTTCTTTGTTGCTGTCGTAAAATACTGATTAAAAGCATTGGCTACTTCACTAGGATTATTTAGTTTACTTTCCCCCACATGGATTTCTACTATATTGTTCATGGGTTGATTTATCGCTGTTTCTTTATTGATTATCCTCCAGGTTGGTTGTATTTTATTCTTTGATTTACTTATTAATTAAGGGTAATACAATTTCTTTGCTTCTCTTATTACTCTCATTAAAATAGTACAGTATCTCTTGTAGTGCAGTTTCAGCCCATTGTCATTAGATTTTTTAACTAAAGTATGTAGGGTTCTCTTATATTTACAAGATAATCTTATGCCCTTAGTTATCCATTTATCATTGATGTTTGTTTTCTTTTTAAACATTAACAGAAAACAAATCTCAAAATTTAATAAAAACATATTGTGGAAAATATTAAATTTCCTATTAAGATTTTCTTGGTTATAGACTTCTTCCTAATTTTCTTTTTATAGAGCCAGTTAAAAATTTGCAATGTTATCCACATTGATCTCTCTTAATGTACATACGTGCTCCTTTCGTTTCTTAATATGCTGTAATACTATGTATTACGTATTACTATTACGTATTAATAGTAATACGTAATAATACGTATTACTATTACTGAAGAGTGCTCTTATAAGTGGCCAAGGCAAGAATTTTAGTGATACAGCTTGCCAGCTGATGATTGGTTAGTATTTATCTAGTATAGTTGTACTAAAATATTGGAAGTGTGACATGACAAGCATTTATTTAATCATAGTAATAACCAACCACTGTACAGGTTTTAGTTTTTAGCTTAGTGCTGCAATCATAGGTGAAGTAATCACAGATCAGTTCACCCAGTAATGTTTGCCCAGAGAAGTTACTACCCATTTAATGTTGGGATGTATTTATAATGGTAGAAGTAATAAAGTGAAGGTATTATACACTAATCTTTGTTGAAATTTTGGGAAAATTTGAGTTTACTCTATCCCAGCTGTCATGTAATTTCTCACACAGTGTTAGGCCCACCAATTATCAGTCATCAACAGTTCATTAGCTCCACCCACTCCTTAGATGGCTTGTGGACACACCAAAGAAACCCCCTTACAAACTGTCTGCATATAATGGTATTCCCCACCTTACATGATAGTTGCATTCCCAAAAGTGGTCAAAGTATTCAAAATTTTTGTTAATTTTTGTCATTCCTGTGGTTTACTGCCTTCAATTTTCATTAAAAATTCGTGCCACGAAGATGTATAGGGTCATGGAAGTATAACTCCATCATTCTTGGCCTTGGCACTAGGGACATGGAAGTACATGTTGTGTATTTATTCTAGACATACGTTTTACCACTGTTTATCTGGTAAATTAAACTATTAGACAAGTTATTGCATTATGCACTAGTGGCATGACAAAATGTTAACACTTTGCGGATGAATCACATAATATTATGATTTTAGGACAAATTGTGTTGCAACACACTATAACTTGCTCTGGCGCCACACAGATGCATAACTGGTGCGTAATAGACCTCCCGAATGTTTGCTTAGCAGTCAGTAACATGACCTCACTGTTTTCCTATCCCACTCCAAAGGAAAATGTCTTTGTTCGTCTTCAAACTGTATGTACCAGGCAGTAAGTTAGTAGTGCAATATGGATCAAGGACGAAAGCGGTTGAAGACCAAGCGATCTCTCGGAGAACAAGAAATATCTGACTTGTTCTCTGATGAGCTATGTGACGTGTAGTAATAGTGACTCAGACAGTGGCAGTGACAGGGGACAAGAAAGAATTGTGGCCACAGACAGTAAAAGTGACAGTAGCTCCGACAAAAATGCGGGTAGTAACATTGTGGGGACAGCCACATGGGGAAAAGTAAACAAATCGCCTTCTTTGGGACAGTTTACTGGAAATCCTTGGCTGCAACAAATTCCATCAGACCCAGCGCAAGTGTCTGAAGTAGCAGAACTGTTTTTGGAGATAGTTTCTTTGACATGTTATGTCAGGAAACTAACAGATGCTATCTCCAACGCCGTGAGGAGTATGACAGAAGTTATAAGGTGTTGAAGTGGGTGGATATCACTTCAGCAGAAATGAAAACATTTTTTTGCAATAATCTATCTAATGGGGCATACAAGGATGGATAATCTAAAAGAGTACTGGTCGAACAGATCCATTTTTAGAAATGCCCATTTTTGGTAAACTAATGAGCCGTAAGAGATTTGAACAAATTTGGTGGTGTTTGCATTTCAATAATAATGAACTGCAACCACAATCAAGAAGCAGGCTTTTCAAAATTCAGCCCTTATTAAACTTTTTCGTTCAAAACTTTCAGACAGTTTATAAGCCAAACCAACAACTGTCTTTGGATGAATCTATGATCCCTTGGAGGAGAAGGCTTTGTATGCGAACATAGTATAATCCTGGGAAACTTATAAAGTATAGCCTACTTCTTCGTGTAGTTACTGAAAGCACTTCAGGCTATAGTGGAAATTTAGAAATTTATTCTGGTGAAGGCAAAAAATTACAAGAAACTATTGTTTCCGTTTTGGAACCCTATCTTGATCAAAATTACCATGTCTATCAAGACAATTATTATAGCAGTGTGGCAACTGCAGAACACCTGTTTTCGAGAAAAGTACGTGTTTGTGGAACAATTAGGGTGAACAGAGGCCTTCCTCCAGATCTGAAAGAGAAATGTAAACGCCTGAAACGTGGTGAAACCACATTCAGGAGGAAGGGGGACATTCTTCTTCAGTCCTGGAGGGATGCTCGTGTTGTGAATATGATTTCCGCAATTCACAATTCGAGCATGGTTGATGTTCAAAGGAGACATGGACAAGTAAAGAAGCCTATTTGTATTTCTGTGTATAATATTTTCATGAAGGGAGTTGATAGAGCCGATCAATACTTGGCCTATTATTCTCTTCCTAGGAAAACGATAAAGTGGATAAAGAGAGTTGCCTTGTGGGTTATAAATTGTGCCATTTTCAATTCATTTTTGGTTTACAAAAATCTAACCCGTGATTCAAAATTGAAATACAAAGATTACAACACTCGCAGCTAAAATGGGAACACACATCACAAGACACGGTTTACGCAGAATATAAGAAAAACGCCCCCCATTTTGGTAGAACCACACGCAAGTTTTAATTAAGACATAAGATGAATAATCTTATGCACTTTTTAAATAACTTTACAAAGACATAGCATAAATAGCTTAGCGTAATTAGGGCACCTGATGATGACACTATGTTGCCGAAACATGTCGTCAAGTAACAGGTGAAATTGAGTGCACTACAAGACGGCCACTGTATACATATCATGGATGAAATACAAAGCATTTCTGATGAATGTGGCAAAGGCCTGGGCTACAGACCAGATGGTGGTGACAGAACGAGAGTCAGACACAGACTTAGTGCGACCATGCCCATCAACTCCCACCCCACTCAGGCCTCATGTTGACCCCCCTGGGCAACTCTCGGGTGATATGTGGATACATACCCTCGTGAAAATTGTGAAGAGTGAACATTCCAAGAGGAAGCATCCTTCTAGGCAATGCCGTGTTTGCACGGTTCACAAAAAAAGGAGTACGACTGTCTACATTTGCAAGTTCTGTGTAATGCCACTTCACAAAGGGGAATGTTTCCAGAAATATCACACTCTCAAGCACTTCTAGGAGCATTGGTAAGTGTTCTCCAAAAATTTTAGTTCATAAAATTAATTAGGAGATTTTATATTAATTTTTAAAGTGAACAGTGCACATGTTAGGGTAGTAGGTTTAAAAATGCCAGTCCCCAGGGTGATTGAAATATTTAAATTGCTGGTCCACAGAGTGTTAAGTGTAAAACCATAGAATAAAGTTGATATGTAGTAATTGTAAAGATGGAGATGAAAAGCAGTAACATGTTACATGTTGTTTTGGATAGAGTGATCATTGCTTGAGGAAGATGTGAGGTGTTACGATAAAAGTAGGAGGGATTTTGTCAGAGAATTATATACAAATTATGTGTGATTCTAGATTTCACTACTGTGTTTCATTTTGTATTGTGTTCAGGTATGTTTGACAGAGATCGAAGTGGCACAATAGATGTAAACGAGTTCCAGCTGTTGTACAGTTACATCAACCAGTGGCTGGCTGCATTCAGGACATACGATAGAGATGGCTCAGGACACATTGAGGAACCAGAACTTAATCAAGGTACAGTTTTAGTATCTCAGTACTGTGTAACTGTAAACTATTGCCTGTGTACATTGTATGTTTATGGAAATAAAACAGAATTTCAACAAACCTGTCCTACTGGACACATGTTTGAAATTGGTAATTATTTTCAAATTATTTTCTTCGTTTATTCAGGAATCTTTTTCATCTTACACCCACCTATTACATGGGATTACACCACGGCACACTGCTTTGTGACCCTCAAAATCTCATATAAGGATGTAATAATTAGCATAATAAGTAAAAACTGTAATTAAGGATGTATTAATTGTTGTGATGACTAACACTGTTTCTTGCTACCACTGAAGTATGTGTTTGATCTCACTCATTGACAAACAGTAGTCAATTTTTATAGCCTGGGCCTTTATGTGCCTGTCTGCTTAACACATTGCGGACCGGTTGTTTAAATATTTCAATCACCCTGGGGACCGGGGTTTTTAAGCCTAGCACCCTAACTTGTGCACTGTTCACTTTAAAAATTAATATAAAATCTCCTAATTAATTTTATGAACTAAAATTTTTGGAGAACACTTACCAGAGCTCCTAGAAATGCTTGCATGTGTGATATCTCTGGAAACATTCCCCTTTGTGAAGAGGCATCACGCAGAAGTTGCAGATGTACGCAGTCCTACTCTTCTTCTTGTGGACTGCGCACACACGGCACTGCCTAGAAGGGGACTTCTTCTTGCAATGTTCACTCTTCACAATTCTCATGAGGGTATGTTTCCACATATCACCCGAGAGTCGTCCAGGGGGGTCCACATGAGGCCTCAGGCGGGTGCAAACAGATGGCCACAGCTGCACTATGTCTGTGTCTTGACATATGGAACTATATGTTAATGTATGGATTTATGATGGATATTTTACTACTTTTGTGAAATCCTTACTATTTATGTGAACTTGAATTGTGCATGTATATATGTATTGTATGATTTTTGACAAATTCCACATCCGGTAGGTCATCTGACTAACTCATGGATCTATGGAATGCTATGTATGTATGACACAGGTACTGCCGCCACCGTGAGGTTAGTAGCCCAAGCTTTTGCCAAGTTCAACAGAAATGCTTTGTATTTCAAAGTAGAATTTCTGTTCACCTTTTTGAAAACTGAAAATGAATTGAAATGTGCACAGTTTATAAGCCACAGTGCAATTTTCTTCGTCCATTTTACTGTTTTCCTAGGAAGGGAATAATAGGCCAAGTACTGGTCGGCCCTATCAACTCCCTTCATGAACATATTATACTCGGAAATACAAAGAGGCTTCTTCACTTGCCCATGGCGTCTCTGAACATCAACCATACTCGAATTGTGAATAGTGGAAACCATATTCACAATGCGAGTATCCCTCCAGGACTGAAGAAGAATGTCCCCCTTCCTCCTGAATGCGGTGTCGCCACGTTTCAGGCATTTACATTCCTCTTTCAGATCTGACGGAAGGCCTCTGTTCACCCTAATTGTACCACAAATACATACTTTCCTTGAAAGTAGGTATTCTGCAGTTGCCACACTGTTGTAATAATTATCTCGATAAATGTGATAATTTTGATCCAATAGGGACCCAAAACAGAAACAGTAGTTTCTTGCAATTTCTTGCCTTTAGCAGAATAAATTTCTAAATTTCCTATATTGCCTGAAGTGCTTTCCGTGACTACATGGACAAGTAGGCCATACTTTGTGAGTTACCCAGGATTATACATTCGAGTACGAAGCCTTCCCCTCCAAGGAATCACAGATTTGTCCAAAGACAGTTGTTGCTCTGGCTTATAAACTGTCTGAAATTTCTCAACCAAAATGTCTAATAAGGGCTGAATTTTGAAAAGCCTGCCCATTGGTTGTGGTTGCACTTCATTATTACCGAAATGCAAACACCACCATATCTGTTCAAATCTCATACGACTCATGAGTTTGCCGAAAATGGGAATTTCTAAAAATGGGTCACTTGACCAATAATCCTTCAAAGTATCTCTCTTCGTAAGCCCCATTAGAATGATCATAGCCAAAATTTTTTTCATTTCTGTTGAAGTGACATCCACCCACATCCAACACCTTATAGGTGCGGTCGTACGCCTCACGGTGTTGGAGATAGTATCTGTTAGTCTCCTGACATAACAGGTCAAAGAAACTATCTCCAAAAACAGTGACGCAACTTCAGACATATCTGTTGGGTCCGATGGCATCCGTTTCACCCCTGGATCACCAGTAAACCTACCCAAAGTGGGGGTTTCGTCCACTTTACCCCATGTGGCTGTCCCGGTACTCGCACTTTCATCAGAGCTCTCACTTTCACTGGACACATTATTTTGGGGGGCCCTGTGGCCCCTGTCACTGTCACTTTCACTGAGGCTGGCCTCGCTATCAGAAGACGAAGCAGTTGGCAAATCTGATAGCTCATCGGAGAACAAATCTAATATTTCTTGTTGTCCGAGAGAATGCTTCGCCTGCAACTGCTTTCGTCTCTGACCCATGTTGCACTGCTGACTTCCTGGTTCATACGTTGTAACTGTCCAGTTTATGGGAAGGTCAATGGATGTTTGTGTATGGTTAGGGTTTTGTGAAATTCCTCACTTTCGCCTCACAATTTGGAATCTTCCCCCTGAGACAAGCAGCAAGTGGCTTGGGTCAAGCTTGAAGCCAGCTGCCCTTTCGTAAATCAGTTAATTTAATGCGTAACAAGGCCGAGTCCTTTAGAAATTCTAAACTTGACAGGGGAAGTCATAAATTTAGCAAGTCGTTTCCTGCTACCCCAAAATCTCAGTTTGACAGCCACGCAGCAGGTGGCAAAGTTCACCCCTAAACTGTACACTAGTGGATATTCGCTTTCCTAATTGGAGGAGAATGATAAGCCACCTCCCAGTCTGCCCGGTCCAGCCAATCATCGTCTGAAGGGACGGGGGTCCTTTGCCCGAATTGTGAGTAACCAGGGCAAGTACTTACCAGTCAGAGGGTGCTTGGCAAAGAGACTTGGAAAGTTACGTTCACCGGGGGTACAGGTGTGCTGATCCCCGTAAAGACGCCGGTGGTAACTATTAAGTGTGCGTCCCCAGAACAGTAAGCCTACGTCCACGAATTTGTGAAGGGTACCAATACGGGCTGTTTCTATCCAATTAGTGTAAATTAAATAAAGACCCCATACAGTTAATCGGTGTTGAGGTTACTTCCCTACACCTAAGCCCCACTAATCACCCAAGTCGTGGCCTGTCAACACGCCCTGAGAGGAGTCGGATTGCTCTACCGAGACTAGCAGAACCGAAGAAGGACGGTTACAGGGTGAGTGTGGCGCCCAACGCGACGGCCGATATCGCGACAAGGGTGACTAGAGGCAGTGAGGAGCCAGCGGAAACAATCAGTGGTTAAGTGCCAGCACAAAAGTGTGAAAAAAAGGGCAGCGGACCTACCTACGAACGCCACAGCAGCGCAGACAACCGCCACTGCAGCTGTCAGGGACCACACCGCAGGGGCCAAGAGGAAGTACGGACGGAGTCGCAACCTAGCTTCCAGAGCGCGGAGGGCCGCCCAACACAACAACATCGAACACGCAACACCAAGGTTAGTCAAGTGACACACATGGCCAGCCGAACGCTTCGGAACCGGGTTATAGAAGTGGAGCAGGCTGATAGTGAGAACATGTCGGGGGTATTTTCTGCAGACCTGTCGTGTGACCAGGGGGATTGTGTTGAAATAGAGGGGTCAAGTGTAGCAGTAGAAAGTCTGGATGAGTTAGGAGACCAGGTTAGGAACACGATGGAAGTGACGATACAAGCCCAGAGTGAAAATATTGCAGCCGACTCCCCCGCTGTACCGAGTTATTTACAAGACTTATTCGCCAGCATGATTGCATCGATGAAGACTGGGAACGAAGAACTGGCCAGTAAGTTAGAGGAGAAACTAAAGGAGAGTAATAAGGAACTGCAGAGTAGAGTAGAGGAGAAATTAAGGGAGAGTAATGATCAGATGAGAGAGGAGATCCGGAGGGAAAACGAGAAACTGGTAGAGCAGTTTCGACTAGATAATCAAAAACTCAGCCAAGAATTTTCAAGGAAACTTCAGGCCGAAACGTCTAAAGTGTCTCGCCAGGTTAGGCAACTACAGGGTGACACGGACAGGGAATTACAAATGGTGCAGGAGAAGCTTCAGGGAATCAGTTCGGAGTTCGAGACCCGGCTGGAACAGCAATCCCGGAGCAACCAGGAGTTGACTGGTGAACTCTCCGGCAAAGTTCTGGAAGTCAGGACGGAGGTAGATTTAATTGGCGATCAGGTAATTCACCTGGCTAATGATATAGAAATATTAAAGGGCGACCTGGTAAAACGTGCAGAGGACTTAGAAAAACGGCAGGGGGAGAGCACCGCACAGCTAAACAAAGCGGCAGAAACCGAAAAACTTGGAAACGAACGCAAGTTCGAGCTATTAAATTCCGCGATTGGTAAACTGAAGGACAAGCTTGCCCGAGCGACTCCCATGACTTGTGGTACAGAAGTAACACAAATCAGGGAAGTGACGAACGCTGTTCATGGCTCTCCCACTCCACCGCCCACTGCTAATATAGCTAGAATAGAAAATGTACAATGCAGTTGTAATTCGAATTCATGTTCTGTGTGTGTGAATGGGGTTGCTGTGTGTGAGAGTACTATAGAGCCTGTACGCCATCACTCGGCGAACAATTATTTGAGTTGCGCTGACTTCCCGTTGCCTCAGTTCGACGATAGCTCGGAGGTTAACCCGATATTTCATCTAAATCAGCTGGATGAATTCATGAGGCTCAGGAGTGTGCCTAAGCCCCTCCAGCTATCGCTAGCATTCAAATCTATAGTGGGTGCTGTAGGCAAACAGTGGGTGGCCACTGTAGCCCGAAACCTGAGTGACTATGAGCAATTTAAGGTAGCATTTTCCGGTAATTATTGGTCAAAGTCAAAGCAAAGCCTAGTCCGTTGCAGTTTGTATCAAGACAGGTTCAATCCCAGGTCTGGTTTATCTCTGTCCAGCCATTTCCTAAAGTACGCTACCATGGCCTCTTATTTGGAACCCAGGCCCTCTGACACAGAAGTAATTGAGGCGGTCAGACATCACTTTCCAGTAATGGTCCAGAGGGCAATGATAGGCTACAATCTGAGTACGGTAGGGGAGACCTTGGACCTGTTGAAAAGGGTAGAGATGATGGAAGGGGACGGGTCATACCGAGGTTCGAACCCGGTAACCCACCAACCCGATCCGACTCCCAGAGGGAATCCACCTAGCCGTGGGGGATATGAAAGATCACGCCCCAACCAATATCACGCAAGGCGAGTACAGTACGACCGCCGGAACGATTACTGCCGCTATGACAACCGGCGTGGACACCAGACACGCGGGGGGTTTGGACCGTCCGCTAGGGATACGGAGCCGGTCAACAGCCGCCCCGCTGCAGGGAACTCCTTGAACCCCCACGCTCCCACCTTCGCCGGCACCGATGGACAACGTCGCGCTGGGGACTTGGGAAACTAGAGCAGGGAGTTGTTGAGGACCGAATGACTCTCGCCAGTAAAAACAACGAACCGACAGGTCCACCTCACAGGCTAAGCCTTCAGGGCAAGATTGCAGTAAACGTTAATGGACCAGAAATTTTGGATGAGGGAATCGAACCAGAGGCAGGGGGATTGATATTGTTCTTCATAAATGAGAACGACTTAGCTTGCTGCCCTCAAGTGAACATTTCTTTCGGGAACGGCATTTCAGCTAGCGCCCTTTTAGACACAGGAAGCGAGGCGAACATCTTGACCGAGAAGCTTTATGATCAGCTGATAGGGGCAGGGATAGCTGTGCCCACGCTGCCGCTAGAAAATGTAGCACTAGTCACGGCATTTGGCAGGAGGACAAAGAGGATTAAGAAGCAGGCGCTCATAGAATTTTTTGTAGGCGAGGATAGGTTTGAGGCTATTTTCTTAATATCTCCACAGTTAATTAATTCGGCCATTTTAGGCTCATCATTCGCTAAGGAATATGGGATCACTATTGATTTTGTTACTAAATGTTTTTACTATGAGAGAGATGGAAGCAGGAAGGGACATTCGTTCGATCAAAGTTCCGGGCCATTGGACGCCAGAAATCATGAGCGGGAGTCGAAGGAAGATCCCTCCCATAAATGTTTTGGTGTCACCCATGACCTGAAAACCCCAGCTGTAGGCAATGACCCACGTCACTCAGCTGTTAAAGCCAGCTGTGACGCAACCCAGACAGAAGCAGGTAGAAAGGGAAAAGAATGGCTTGTTGAGGAAGAAAGTTGTATTTTGAATTGTGCTACCGTGAATGGTAGTTATGTAGGGCAGAGGACCCTGTTAAATGGCGCCGCGGGCGACCAAGAGTTATTAGTAGATCGAGAAGTGCATGAAGGAGAGTGTCCGAGAGAGATTTATGGCAGCCTGGTTGAGGGCCTATGCGAAGAAGAAGCGGCTGGCCTTAAGGAAGTTAATGTAGGAAGAACAGCGAGTAACCTGCTCCAACCCACCCCTATCCAAACGTCAGAACTCGACCTCCATGACTCACGCTCGTTGAAGGAGGCGGATTTGTTTACTCTGATCGACACGAATGACAATATGAATGTGTCCCAGAAAGAATGCTTGATCGAGTTATTGAGTAGTTATATGAAGTGTTTCACCGTCAGACCGGGCAGGTGCAACATTTTTTAGTATAGATTTCAGGTAGACGAAGATAAACCCATAGTAGGATATTCTCGCCCCATCCCCTTTGCTGTCCGCCCCGCCGTGAGAGACCAGATTAAGCAAATGCTGCAGGATGGCATTTTGGAATTTAGTAATTCACCCTTCCTTAACCCTTTGTCTGTGGTTCATAAAGGAAATAAGAAAATTAGGATTTGTGTGGACGCCAGGAAGGTGAACCAGCATACCGTCCCGGATAGAGAGCGCACTCCACCTTTACAAGAGTTACTGCAAAAATTTGAAGGAGCGCAGTTCATGACCACCCTAGATTTGACCTCCGCGTATTTACAAATTCCGCTGCACAGAGACTCCCGGAAGTACACTGCATTCTTGTTCGATTCTACTGTGTACCAGTACACGCGCACGCCGTACGGGTTCCGAAATTCACTATCCGCTTTTGTGAGAGCCCTGAAATTGGTCTTTGGTGGTGAGACTGATGAGTTTGTTGTCTTTTACGTGGACGATGTCTTGGTATTTTCTAAAAGTTTCGGGGAGCATCTCAGGCACTTGAAAATTGTTCTAAATAAATTGGCGAGAGCAGGCTTTACATTGAATGCGGCTAAATGCCGATTCTGCCAGAAGGAGATAAGATTTTTAGGTCATAGGATTGATAGGATGGGGGTATCAGCGGACCCGGATAGAGTTGAGGCCATTCTGAAATATCCGGCGCCGAGGAACGCGAAACAGCTACGGCAATTTCTAGGGACCTGCAACTTCCACAGCCGCTTCATAGTAGGTTACGCTGAGTACGTAGCCCCCCTCCTCCCATTGCTGAAGCAGGGGATTAAGTGGAGCTGGACCGACGAGATGAAGGGCGCCTTTGAGAAACTGCGCGCAAGCTTCGCTAAGAGTGTTCAGTTGGTTCACCCACGCCCTGATTTTCCGTACGCTATATACACGGATGCGAGCAAACTTGGCATTAGCTCGGTTCTTATGCAGGAAAGTGACTCCGGGGAAAAGCTGATAGTATCCTCAGCATCACGGGTGCTGTCCCCCACTGAAAGGAAGTACTCCACCTGCGAGCAAGAATTGCTGGCTGTCGTCTACGCTTTGCAGAAATACAGAGTATACATTTTCGGCCACAAAGTCACTGTCTACTCCGATAACAAGGCGCTGACGTTTTTAAGGAAATGCAGCCTAACCTCCAACAGGGTCGCGCGCTGGGTCATGCAGATCCAGGAGTACGACCTCCACATAGTGCACATAAAGGGAACCGATAATTTTTTCGCAGACGCTTTAAGCCGAAATCCAGTAGGCCTTACGGAGGAAGGTCTGAACCAGCTAGTGAGACCAAAGGAAATACTCGTGTCCCCCATTAATCTGAATCTGGACCCCGACCTGAAGAAGGAACTGGGGAATTTGGCGAAACACCAACTCGAGGACCCCAAAATCTGCGAAATCATGCGGACCTTGGAGACAGGTATCCCCTCCAGGGCTGGTCAGTTCACTCTCAGGAATGAAGTTTTGTATCGTAAGGATGACAAAATGTACCCGTACTGGAGGCCGGTACTCCCAAGGGACCTAGAGTACAGGGTCATAAGTTACGTACATGCCTTATTGGGTCACCAAGGCACTGATAAGTGCATGCATCATCTGTCCTACTCGTTCTATATCAGGAACTTAGGTAGAAAGGTGCGCCGGTATGTTTCGCATTGTGACGTATGTCAGCGCGTGAAACATCCCAATCGAGCGTATGAGATCGAGACACGATCCCACTTACCCACGAAACCAGGGGAGCTGATGTCTTTGGACCTCTATGGTCCCCTGCCCACAGGGCGTGGCGGAGTCAAGTACATTCTGGTGTGCCTGGACGTGTTTTCCAAGCATGTAGCCCTGTACGCCTTAAAATCGGCCACCACAAAGAGCTGCCTGAACAAGCTAAAATCACTCTACTTTCCAGAAGTTACCACCCCCCAATGCATACTCAGTGACCACGGTAGCCAGTTCACCAGCCCTTCTTGGAGAAAGGCTCTCTCTGATCTAAATATTGATGTCAAATATTCCCCCATACGCCACCCCGAGAGCAACCCAGCCGAGCGGGTTATGCGAGAACTTAACAAATATTTTAAGATTTACTGCCATACAGCTCAGAAAAAGTGGCCAGAGCTGGTCCCCTATATCACGAAGTGGCTGAACTCTTCAGTGAGTGGAACCACTGGGTATTCTCCCATTGAACTTATGTTCGATAAGCCAAGGCCAGATTTATTCAGGGAGATCCTGGATAAAACTTCGGAACAGCTGCCGGAGGCGGAAACCCTCGAGTCTAAAACGCTTAAGGCATACGCGCGCATGAAGCTGCGGGCTAACGACAGGAGGAACAAACGTAAAACTGGGACAACAAAATGGAGGCCCCAGCTTAACGAGAAGGTGCTCGTACGGTGCCAACCTACTTCGGACGCGGCGCAGGGCGTCACCGGGAAATTCCAGCATCCCTTTGATGGTCCGTTTATCATAAGCAAATTTATACCCCCTAGTATGTACGAGGTCTCCGACGGCAAGGGAAAACTAAGAGGAATGTTTAACTTGGGCCACCTTAAGCCTTATTTGGACAGTGTGGACTAGTGTTAGTATAATGGCATACTGGTCAAGGGGTAAGTGATGATAAAATTGTAGTAAGAACAAGTGAATCCAGTTAAATTTCTAGGTATCAAGAGGTCAGGCAGTTAAATGATCCGAAATTTGAGGAAATGTGTGTGGGAAGAGTTTCTCAGTAATTGCTGCGCTGGGGTGATGGCTGTGTGAATACCGACTTTCTATGTAGGCCTGCGCGCCTTTGTATGGAAATACTTGTAAAAGGGATAACAGAGAAGGCTTGTAAATGTGTAACTTTCAATCGGTTTCGGCAAGGAGTGAATGAGGAAAGGCAGGAGAAAGTTTGAACTCATAGGTCTGAAAGAGAATGGGCGAGGGAGAGAGAATTAAGTTTACGCTCGCCTAAATTCTAATGGTAGGAACCATGGTCAGCATGCCACCGAAAAATATTACATACTTGTATGGGTATGTTAGGACAATAAGAATGTTAGCCTGTGTGAACCGAATTGTAGGAGATGAGTTGCCAGGAAAGCGTAAGACCTGGTAGTGTGAAACAAGCTGTAAATCCGAGGTGACAAAGCAACTTAGGGAGTGAGGTATTGTCCAGTGAGGCCCATAAATGTGACAATGTGCGAGTGAACCAGAAGTGAACTTCAAGAAAGTGGTCAGAACAATGGTAGCGACATGAGCAACAACAGGACTGGAACGGGTAGAAACTAGAAGTGAGCCGATAAACAATTTTAGTTGTAAGATGTAAGTTTCGAAAGTCTGAGAAATGTATTGGAGCCAAAGAAAGAGGCAACAAGGGACTTTGTATTGTCAGCCCATTTCAGTATTGTCTCAATGACTGTGTGAATTTTCATTTGTTATTTTAGGGTTTACTGAACGGTACGGTTTGTAGGAAAGGGGACGAAAGCTACCTAAATTTTCAGATGTGTTGTACATGGTAAGCCTCTTGCTATTGCAGCCAGCGGTGGACCATGCGGTCAATTAAGGTCTATTTACATTTAGTGTGTATTTTTCTAGGCTTAAGCATTTGTGTGTAGAAATGGAGGAGAAACGGCAGTAAGACGAAATCTTGACTTATTCAGGCTGCGCCAGAATAGCCATTATTTCGCTTGGGAGGTTGTAACTGTCCAGTTTATGGGAAGGTCAATGGATGTTTGTGTATGGTTAGGGTTTTGTGAAATTCCTCACTTTCGCCTCACAATTTGGAATCTTCCCCCTGAGACAAGCAGCAAGTGGCTTGGGTCAAGCTTGAAGCCAGCTGCCCTTTCGTAAATCAGTTAATTTAATGCGTAACAAGGCCGAGTCCTTTAGAAATTCTAAACTTGACAGGGGAAGTCATAAATTTAGCAAGTCGTTTCCTGCTACCCCAAAATCTCAGTTTGACAGCCACGCAGCAGGTGGCAAAGTTCACCCCTAAACTGTACACTAGTGGATATTCGCTTTCCTAATTGGAGGAGAATGATAAGCAACCTCCCAGTCTGCCCGGTCCAGCCAATCATCGTCTGAAGTGGGAGGTCCTTGGCCCGAATTTTGGGTAACCAGGGCAAATTTACCATTCAGAGGGTGCTTGGCCAGAGGACTTTGAAATTTACCTTCACCGGGGGTACACGTGTTCGGATCCCCGTAAACACGCCGGTGGTAACTATTAAGTGTGCGTCCCCAGACCAGAAAGTAAGCCTACATCCACGAATCTGTGAAGTGTACCAATACGGGCTGTTTCCATTTAATTAGTGAAAAGTTAATAAAGACTCCATACAGTTAATTGGTGTTGTGGTGATTTCCCTACGCCTAAAGCCCCACTAATCACCCAAGTCGTGGCCAGTCAACACGCCCTGAGAGGAGTCTAATTGCTCTACCGGGGCTAGCAGAACCGAAGAAGGGCGGTTACAACGTGGAAGCTTGGACTCGAACAAAGGCTTTTTTCTTTAGGGTGTGACAGGAAATGAGCGTGATCATGTTACTGGCTAAGCTAGCAAACATTCCTGAGGTCAACTACATAGTAGCTATGATGCAACATGGCCACACAGCGAGATATAGTTGGTTGTAACATAACGCGTCAGAAAATGGCCATTTGGCCCGCCCAGTCCACAACGCTATAGAAACGTAGAGGGCCAGTTGGCCCCTCCGGCCCTGAATGTGTTAAGCACATGAACAGAATTTGACTTTGAATTTATACAGTACATTTTATTGTTAAACAGGCTGTGTTCCAAATCCACGGTCATATGTAACGTCATTCTGAACTATGGTGGTGGGGGGTCACCATAAGAAATAATGTAATTGGCAGCAGCTGAGCACGTAAGCTTAGGAAGGAAGCCTGTTTAACCTTCAGTGTTATATGTATGCTCTTTGACCGTAAAAATGGTCATAAGTTGAGTGATCATGCATTGAAGGCCAAATGTAAATCCCAGTGATTGATTTTGGTTTCATTGTGTGACTCATAGCTGACAAGCTATGTCAATTTGTGGGCAGGTGGCAATAAGTTTTCAATGAGCTATGTGGGGATATGGCAGTAGAGCTTCGTGTAGAAACATATTTAAAGAGTTAAATATTTTATCATTTGCATCACAATATATATTTTCATTGTTAGTATTTGTATTTTAAAATAAAGTTCTTTTTCCATCAAACATTGATTCTCATAGTATTGATACTAGACAAAGACAAGATTTGTATCTTCCTCATGCTAATTTAACTATTTATCAAAAAGTAGTTTATTATGCGGGTATAAAAATGTTTAATAAATTGGCCATAGAGATCAAGAACACATCTATTAATTTTAAAAAGTTTAAGGTTGTATTAAGGCATTTCTTGAACACTCATACGTTTTATACTGTGGATGAATATCTAAATAGATAACTTTTATTACTGTTGTATTCATTGTACTGTCTAGTTGTATAATAACTATATATGTATTCTATGCTCTATATTATTTTATGACATGTTCTATATCCATCTTTGGATCTCTTGAACTCACAATAAATACAAATACATATGAAAGAAATTATATAGTGCTGCAGATAATTATAGATAATATTTATTATATTTCTGTCAAAAAAACTTATTCCCCGAAGGTGATGTTGCTGTCTAGGCTGATATGTTTCAACACATGTTGCCAGGAATATAATAAATATTATCTGTAGTGATTTACCCAGTGGGATGCAACAAAAATACAAGACTTCAAACAAAACTGGATTTGGTTGAACATGCTGCATACTCCTGGAGTTCTAATGCCCCCCCCCCAAAAAATTTACTCACATGCTGCTGTTGGCTGTAGTTGTGTTCTTGGCAGGGCCCGGATTTTGATGACCTGAAAATATTAAAAAAACGACCCAAAAAAATCCAGAAAAATGACGTAATGGAGAAAAGAAAGAACACTTCGCTTCCATGTTATTCACATTTCGGAAAACATATGAAGAAAAATTCCCTAAAATGGCCAAAAATGACCTTAAATCTAAGAATTACCTATAAAATTTACATTTCTGTAACCAGCAGCTAATATCCCAGATTTATATATTTAAGAGCATCGCATAGGATACGAGGAAAAAAATGATGTCATCAAAATCCAGGCCCTGGTTCTTAGCAACATTCCTGGCCTCTATCCATCTTAACAGTAACAAAGGTGTCAATATCTAAGGTGGAGGCAAGAATAGTACAAATTACAATATACCTAAGAAGTTTGAGGATCTTAGACTGGTGACTATGAAGCGTATTATTAATTTTGGGATGCTGTGTGTTGTGGTCTGATAGAAGTTTAGCAGTGTTTTGGAAGCACATTGCTAAACTTGTACCAGACTACATGATGTAACATCCCAGAAGACACTACACTTTACACTGTTCATCGGTGTAGGATGATGATGCTGGCTGGGAGAAGGGATTAGGTGAATTTCAGACCATGTTAGGAGCCTGATACTGCCCACATTTTTAAAATTGTACCTTTATCACAGATGAGAGACGGGAAGGTCAAGAAAAATCTGCATTGTATCTGGCCTTTCTCAAACCAGACCTTGGCACAGAGCAAGCAAATATTGGGATTCATATCTCTTGACATTTGATGAGAATGATTAGAGAGTTGCTGCAGCATGTATGTAGCAGCAGTAACAGTAGGAAATTTGTGTCAGAACAGAGCATGTAGGAATAGACCTGAACTATTTCATAAGAATAAATTAATATAATATGAGGTGAACCATTATGTGCACTTTTTTCCGTCATAGCAAGTATTACTTTTCTGACAGTAGGGAATTTGCCTTTTGTCATAATATTTGAAAACAGTTATGCATAAAACAACTTTCTGAAGTCTGAATTTTCATTCTTTTTGGAATGTTTATTTTCTGAATGGCAGAAACACCTCAGTTACCTATTCTTTTTTCTTTGCCTCCTTGCATAAGCGTGAAACAGGCAACTTGCTTACACAGCATGCTTCAGCTGTCTGGTCCTGGCATATAGAGAATCCAGTTTGCTGTGTTTTTATTCAGAAACTTAGTCTTTAAAGAATTATTAACAACTGTTTTGTAACTGTTGCTAATGTAATCACTGGAATGACCACTGCCACATGTACTCAGTTTACTAAATGACATGTTGTATTTGAACATTTTTAATCAGAAACTGTGTCCAAAATAACTGACATATATATTGTTACACATTTAAGTCTATTAAAATGCCAGAAGTTACAGCATAAAAGCTCACATTGTTTGTCCCTGTCTGAAAAGAAAATGAACAGAGCTTGAATAAGCCAATAATATCACAAATGAAAGACAAAGTAAGTATTTATATTCTTTTCTGATCTTGGGCTCCATGTTTATACTGTCACATGTTAGTGACTAGACACCGGGTTTTTTATATTGAATATTAAATTTATTGAACATTTATAACTCATACCTAAAAGTGACTATAACATGCTCTCTAATCTACACTCTAGAAATTACTACAACAAATACTAAGTCTTCTTAGTTTGTTCTCTCTTAACTGGTTGTTACTTGGTGGTGGCTTCTACAGATGGAGATTTCTCTGCAATTGCTCACAGCCAACCACCAACTATGACTACTGACTCACATCTAACTTGTCCTATTGATACTCGCTGTATAGCCTTGACATGAATCGTGTAGAAAACGTCATTTTCCACAGTTCTTATATTGTTGCAGGTGTATTTGTTGCTGAGGAAACATATTTTACTGCACTGTTGCCTAGCAGTGGTTGCCTCTTCTGGCTCCACTATTCCTCCTTTCAGGTGTAATGTCACAATATTTTCAAGACTAAGATGGCCAGCTGGTGTGATGTAAAGTAATGCACATTTCCAAGAAGTCAGGATGAGATAAAGACAAAAATAAAGAAAGAGGCAACACCCATGTTATCTGAGAATAGGATTCTGGCACATTTTAAAATGACATAGATTGTTTAGAAAGCTCAAAACAAGCAATCGAGCCTCCTTGAAACTATGCTTTATCAAATAAAAGATCAACTTTAACTTGTATCCTGAATATGTTGTCCTATAAGTAGTATAAAAATCACAACTGTCTCAAATAAAGACAGATTTAAACATCCTTAAAATACTGAGGGCTTGGGCTAGAAATGTGGATTTTGTTCTCGGAGCAGTGAATATTAAGACTGTGATGCCATGTACTCCGATAGAAAGTTACCATTGTTTTGGAGGAATATACTGTCTCCATTTTTAGGGTTGAAAGGAGCTATGGAGAATCTTACATGTCATACTGCATCTGTGTTAATAGTTTGTATTCTGCATGTGTTTTATGTAGTTAATTCTCCTGTATGAGAGACATAAAAAAGGTAATTAAATATGAAAGGAACTCCAAGAAGTATACAACCTGAAGTGAACAGGGAGACAGTGTTTTTGATATTGCTTTCTGAGAATCATTTTGTTGACATTCTTAGTATAAGGTAGAATCCATGTGACATGCTGTGCCATGTCAAATGAAGGTTACAGGCATGATATAAACATTAAGTTAATAAATACAAGAAAAGTTTAAAAGCAATAGCAATATGCCTTTTTTTTTTCAATTAACACTACTCAGGGATTATTCAGTTTCTCAATAGAAGCAGTGAAAGTAGACAGTGGTATATTTTTATGACAGGTTATTTTCATAAATTCCTAAGTAAATCATACACCCAAGGTGTTGATTTTAAAATTACAGAAAAAAAAGTTGAGATTTGTGGAATAAAATAAACTAAGATTAATCTTGTTCTGACTACAGAAATTTTGGTAATGTATTTTAATGTTTCATTGTTATGTTTCATTTCAGAGGCATTCCGGGTCCGTGACAAAGAGCATAAGGGTATTATCTCAATTGGCTTTGAAGATTTTCTTGGTGTTGCACTGAACTGTTCTGTATAAAGTACTATAACTTTTCAAACTAAGTGGTGATAAGGCACATAGTCTTGTAAGTGCTTTTGTAATTAATGAGATAATTTTATACTGTACTTAGCATATCTGGTTCTTGTATCATAATTTGCTGTCATAAGCCAGAACATATAAAGTTTACATAAATGCTAATGCAATTTTTAAGAACTACTTTGTTCTCTAGTAGCTTATCAGCGTTCTGAGTCCGTAAATGTTTTCAGTATTGATGACTACATCCTGATACTGTATATGCAGACCCCTTGCCAGCTATAGGGGGGACTACATTCTCAAAAAAAAATTGCAGTTTGCAAGACCAGCACCAACCTCCTAGTCTTCTAACTGCCATCTCAGGACTCTCTCATTATGTAGCTTCAGCATGTACTGCACAGTAAATATAGCTTCCAACAGTTCTTCTGTTGTTGAGTGAATGTCTGTTGCAGCACTCAGATAATGGCTACTGAACCACTGGGTAACAATGGGCATATTTGCAGAGCTGTTCCCTAGCAATGGATGTCTCTGCCGGCTTCACAATTCTTGCGTTCAGCAGACATGGCACATTACTCTATCCTTAATACTGCTTGTCCCAAGTAGCCTAAAGCATACCACCATTTATTCTTTTTCTGGTTGATGTGAGCAAAAATTCTGAGAGTGGTCAGTGCTCCTACATCTCTGGCATTTAAGCTGCTACTAGTGTCTTTTTTCACTTGGGTGGTGGCCGGCTCCTCCACAATGCCTTAATACTCATTTTTTTAATCCTGACAGAAGACCCAGCTGCTAGCTTGACAGCCTCTAGTCCAAGAGTTTTTCTGATGGCCTCATGGAATGTCTCCTTGGTTCCCAGACCTAGCTGCTTTTTCCATCCTTGGTCCCTTATACCATTGTTGAATTTTGGCTGCATCTGTCCTCTCTTCCTGAACATTTTTCCTTTAGGGGTTCCTTATATAACATTGCCCTTGATCCGCCTTTTCTGTGGGTACTTGAATACCATGAGCAGTTGGTGGTCTCCAGATCGGTCTTCCAGTGCCCTGATAGTGTCTGCTGCGGCCTCTTCATTAGGGACTTTCTGATGCTCTGCTATGACCTCTCCTTCTGGAATTGCCTCCCGCTTCTCTGGATAGGACTTCATCTCTTGTAAGATGGCACTTATTGTGGCTTTCATTTCCGCTCGACCAATCTTCATTTCTTCTTTCTTCTCTTCTTTGCTGTCCTCATTTTTTCTTCATTTGAGTCCAACTAGGCTTTCATCTTTTTGAGAGAGTCTTACATTTCTTCTCAGTTTTTATTTCTTCTTTCATGTCAGCCTCCATCTTGGCCATCAGGCATTCCATTATTTGTTCCATGCTCCATTTTTATGGTATGATGCTGTAACTGCACAGTGCAATCTTCAATCCAATCCCACTTCTGACACCAGTTGTCACGTGATTGAGTGTGACTATAGATGGGGTTTGTATTGGTGATTGGATTTATTGAACACTTACAGAACTTAACTGCCAGTAACACCACACATAAAGTCTTCTCAGTCTTGACTAGCTCTAGCTTGGTAGCAGCTTCCAACAGCAGATATTCCCCTTTCTCTGGGTTTCCAGACTGGCCCTTGCCACAGCTACCAGTTTCTCACTTGTCACAACTGCAACTCTCAACTAACTCAATCGCAATCACGGACTGCCCAGAAAACGTCTCTTCCATTATTGTGTGTTCTCTTGTTGCTGGGGAATGTGTCCCCAGAGCCGTTCCCTAGTAACGGCCGTTGTACTGTCACCTGTTTACACAGCTGTTACTTGGAAATGGGTCTACGTGCCACAGTGTAACAACAGCGGGCATGAATAAGAGTGTAAAAATTCACCAAAAGATGCACCATAACAGCCAGCTGTTGGATGTCCAGCCTTGAGAATACATGGCTCTCTTGATGTGAAAGCCACAAAAGTTTTTTTGTATGTATACAAGTTTAAAACTACTCATACATAAAACCCAATGTTGCAGTGGGCAAAATCATGGCTGATGTACTGGTTTATAATGTTATTGAATAAAATAAATATAGAAGAAATAAATTAAAACTAACATGGAACAGTGTGCTCACTAAGAAGGTGCTCAGGAACTTCTGCCCCCCGCCCCACCATGTTCAATAAAGTGTTCACAATGACATGTTCTAAAACTAAATCCCGCAAGACATATGGTCATAAATAGATGCACCATAGTGATGATCTGGAATACAGAAAACTGATTTCAGATGTTATTGCAGCTCTGTTCCCAGCAAATGTGCACACTTGTTGCAAAAGCCACAGTTTTTTTACATATGTATGCAAATTAAAAGCTGTGGGCATATAAAGACAAGTACTGCACAGGGAAAAATTGTATAAGAAGAGAAAACTGTGGATACTTGAACTCCACAGTTCTTGAGGGACTGCTATATTGTAAAAATGAAATTTGACATGTAATCTGTATGTTCGTAGTTCTTTAGTGACATTTGCAACTGCTCAGTAAGTTTTGCCATGCTTCCATTCCACCCATTTCTAGATTGTGAAGCTTTCGTTTATAATGGCTATAGCTGAGAGATCATTCCATGAATCATGACATACTGGCTAAACTTCAGGTTCTTGTTTTACATCTCATTTGAAGATAAAATGTCCAAGAAATTTGGTCGATTTGATCCCATTATTGAGTTAAGGACTAGTGGAGTGAGCTGGTACTCCTATAACTTGACCGAGTTCCTGCTTGTACATTGTCTAGGTTAGTGTTGCTGTGTTATGTTGCAGTGCAGTTATAGTCAAAAGGCCTAACATATTTATAAATAAAGAATACGCCGACATGCATTTCATATACCATTTCTGCAGTGCAGATGGTAGGGCTGCTGTGGTGCAATATCAGCATTGATATCATCTTTGCAGAATTCCACATAGCAGAACATTTGAGAACATATGCAAGCCTGGTTCTTCTTTGAAATGTTTCAACACATTGTAAAATCTCTAGTATACACAGAACTTTAAGGGAGAGTGGTTCATTCTCACGAGTCAGTGCAAAATGTGAACAATGACAGCATGGAGAAGGGCTGCCAGCAGTGTAGTGAGGCAAAAGAACAAGAACATGCAGAATTTCCAGGATAACTGGTATACCACAGATACAGGTATGGAAAATTTTGCACCATGCTGGTTTCTCTCAGTATTACCTCAGAAGAGTACAGCACCTGTTACTGGCAGAACACGCCAACCGCATACGATTTTGTGAATGGCTGCAATCACAGGTGCATATTGTGCATGAGATTCTGTTTACATGAGAGGCCCAATTTCCATGCGATGATATTACCAACACAATGAATTTGCACTTTTGGGCACACAAAAATGCATATGAGGTACAATGTCATTGCAAACACTGATTTTCAGTTAATGTGTAGTGTGGAGTATTAGGCAGAATCCTCATTGGACCACATGTTACAGAGGGATGTTTAACCGCTCCATATTACAGGAATTTTCTGGAATAAGAATTACCACTGCATTTAGAGGATGTCCTTGCAACGTGAAGAAAATGTGGCTACAACATGACGGAGCAAGCAGTTTGGCCGAGCAATAACGGATTTTTTAACAAGGATTATGAAGGAAGGTTGACCAGTGGTGTGGCTTGCTTGGTCTCAAGACATAAACTAGTTAGATTTCTTTCTACAGTGTTATATAAAGTCGAGAATATATCATGATGGTAAACCAGAAGCAAGGCATCAGTTAGGAGACGCCATAGATGAAGCCAGCATTGATGTCAGAAATGAACTGTAGCAACATTCAGTGGTACAATGATTGGCAGCATGCATGCAGTCTAATAATGGGCATTTTGAACATATGTTTTAAATACCTTGAAAACTTTACAGTTGTAAGCATGTAAAGGTGAGTTCAAAAGATGTTTATTTTCTCAGTGCTACACTAACCTAGCACTTAACTTGACAGCAGTGTCAAATTGACCTGTTGTTTGCTACACATTTTTTGCTCCAAATGAACTATAGAACACACTCCTGATGTTTAGCCAATATGTTCTGGAACATTCTATATAATAATTTTTGTCATAGGATTCTGTTTTGTAATATCTGAAACAAGTTTTAGTAGATGTAACACTAGAAATAATGATGATATGATTAGATTCGTGAACTCCAAATTGTCAGTGAATGACTAAAAATTGTTATATAAAAGAAGATGTGAGATGTTTATGGCTGGCAAGAATCATGTTATGGTCTTCTGGGTTATAACACTGTGTTGTCTGGTAAGTGGGTACCAGTAATTTGGTAGAATATTGGTATATAATTTAAGGGTCAGAGAAGGGAATGTAAATACTTTTCTTCAGGGACCGGAATATTTCATTGTAAAACCCTTTAACCCTCTCAATGAGTACAGATTCTGAAGCCCATGCTGCCTCTTTGCAATGGTAGGAGGGTTGAAGTGTATTGAATGTCTTGGATAGTAATGGAGAAACAGGAACAAGATATAATCATTATGATTAATTAAATGATGAATGGCAGTTAATTTTCATAATGGACTAAGGATTCCTTGCAGTCAATAAATAAGGTAAATTTAGAGTTACATTTTGCTTTTTAGGCCTATACAGAGTGATTTAAATGGAAAAGAGTTTCCAGATATTGGAGACTTTGAGAGCATAAGTGAATCATGGTAATTACAGTAAGTTTAGTGTTAAAAGAGGCAATGTTTAATGTTCTATGTGGATGTTTAATAGTACTTAAAATGTGCTGTGATGAAATACAAGTGGTTTTAAATCTTCTAAAAGGGATTTGGTTGAGGTATTTTATTTAAGAACAGGAACAATTTTTTATAGATGGTTAATGGTATAAAAGAAGGATCTCCTCTTCATGTCTTTTGTAATGTTAAACATTATTTACATTTATTTAAAGGTGGGATAGGTTATTTACACTAATAAATTAAAAATATATAAGTTATTTGCATTTATGGTTTCATTTCCTTGGCTTGCAATATAATGTTCACAAACTTTACACAGTGAACACACAGGAGTGCAGTACCTTGCGCTGGGGCAACACCAGAAACATTCACTTAGGTTTAATATGAAGTTTTGGATTATGATCTTACTCAAATCATACATAACTCAAGGAATTATTTGTGTTTATGTATTTAATTGATTCACTTATGTATTTTGTGTTTATAATTTATATGTTAAGT